TGTCCGAGAGTTTTTGGCCGCCAAACGGATCACTGAAATGGATCACCCGCCGTATTCGCCCGATTTAGCCCCCAGTGACTTTTGGCTGTTTCCCAAACTCAAAAATTTTTTGAAAGGCCATCGATTTCAAAGCATTGAAGACATTCAAACAAATGTGATGCAGGCTCTGAAAGACATCCCGAAAGAAGCATTCCACCGCTGTTTCCAGCAATTGCAGCATCGTTGGGATAAGTGTATACGTTCTGGAGGGGAGTACTTTGAAGGCGATGAATGTGATTAATTTGTAAGTTTAAAAGTAAAAAATACAAAAATAAAGTCTGGAAACTTAATAGCCACACCTCGTATATCATTTTCTGAGAGATGATTCTGAGAAGTGGAATTAGATCCATGACCTGCAGTCGACTTGAGACGACTAGGAGAGCTAGTATTTGAAAAATTCACCAGATTCGGGGAACCAATGTCCCAAATACATGTTCCCTGCTTTGGCCGACCAAAGATTCAAATTCTATCCAGTGCAGTGAAAGGAAGGGGATGCGAGATCCCCACATTATGAGAAAATTGTCCCTCTCCTCTACACGCTATTACAGTCTTTTCACTCGAGTCAGATGTTTTTTCATCAGACTTCGACTCTCATGCATGAAGAACTTCCCACGCACCAGTGTCCAAGTCAAGCGAAAAATTGCTAGACTTAAAATGAAAAACACCGTAGCAGACGAAGTCAAATTCCCTCCCATTTCCAATCGTCATGGCGGCCTACTGTCGGCATGTTCGCGGATAACGTACATTGTTTCCGGATTGAATTCGTATCCCCCTACAGGAGCGCTTCGATCGACTTCGGGTCGTGACATCATACACGGGGGTGCTTACGCCTACCACCCACCTGATAGAGCGGAACCTTTGGATATTTGTGTTTTCTCCGTTCTCCACTAAAGGAGGGGTGGTACGTATTTAATTCGGAAACAGTGTATTCGTTTCTGCCCTGCGTGTCTCGAGATAACACTTCTTTCAAGTTTGCCAAATGTTAGCCTCGCCCAGAGCTTTTTAATTAGGGACTCACAGGCCCCGAAGAGACTGCATTAGGAAATTGGAATAAATGGATTGGGTAGGCCTACCAGCTGTTAGCCAGGATGCCAATATTGAGTTGGTCTGGTCAGTAACAAGCTTCCATAGGTTGTAGCGAAGAAGGAGTGGTAGGATATTGCATTCACTCGTCCATTTGTATGGTGACCAAACATCCCGATTTAGGTGGAACACCCCACTTTCGGACCACTTGTCCCTGTGTTCCCAGATGAGCGATGAGAATGAGTTCAAATACCAGTTCTAATTCATGTTTCATACAATAATAATAAAAATTGTCAGTGCAAAAAATGCATTCAAATTATTTTATAGGAGACAAGGGGAGTATCTATTGAGCATCCCACTTTCATGACTCAAAAATCTGGTCACCTTATCCATTCGGTCCAATCTTGCATGCATGACTAGTGGTATTCAGAAAAGGATTTTCTACATAGAATTACCTGGTGCTCATGCTGCCATTACAATTACTCAATGAGTCAAGCTTACTGTTGAACCTGAACATAGACATATCCATGCTAGCCAGTGCTTGTTTATACCTTACTTCTAGGTCATGGTAGTCAAATATGAAGGTATATTCTGTTTTTTAATTATTGCATTAGACAAGCTGTTTCATGGAGTGATGTCCAATACCATTAATTTGCAAGTCCAAAACTGTTCCAGTAATCTAACTTTGAGCCTTTGACCCTGATAATTTTCTTTGTTTTCTTCATCATAGGATCACATCCCATAGGAATTCTTCAACAGCTTGAAGTATGGCCACTACCAGCCGTGAATTATCAGGACAATGGGACCATGTGAGGAAAGTGCTTGAAAGGCCAAGCCCTTTGGCACATCCAGACTTTGAGCCAAATACTGGAATCCTTGATTTTCTTCGTGAAACCTGCAAAGTTCTAGTGATTGGAGCAGGAGGACTGGGCTGTGAACTTTTGAAAAACTTGGCACTGATGGGCTTTTCTAATATTCATGTGATTGATATGGACACAGTTGATATATCAAATCTTAACCGACAGTTTCTCTTTCGTCAATGTGATATTGGCAAGTCCAAAGCAAATGTTGCTGCTGAATTCATCAACAAACGAATTCCATATTGCACTGTCACACCGTATCCTTTACTTATGGTTTTTTGTCATTTGCAGAAACTTCCTCATAAGCACATTTTGGTAGAAGACAGTTTTCATGCACTATGAATTTCATGGAACTTTCAATTCTCACCAAAGGAAGCCTTATAGTAGAAGGGCAATTGTTCCATAAGCCAATCACAATTTGTGTCCAGGCCTAGCAATATTTACATCTGTTTCAAAATGTGCTGGAAGAAATGTGCATTGCATTGCAAGTCATGCCTTTTGCAATATACAGGGTGTCCCAAAAGTCCCTGTAAAACTTTGAAATTAAATTTTAAATTAACCATAAGAGTTAGAACTAATCTGTTTATTGCATCATAAAATGCATCTCAAAAAGTTTTAAAATAAATATATATATTAGAATACAGAAATGTGCTCTCCATGTGTTGCATGGAGAATGTCATGGTGATAACCAATTTCTTGCCATGTTTGCTGTAACAAGTCCATATCAACATTCCTTATACCATTGCGAAATCTGTCCTTCAACTCCTCAATGTTGTTCACTTTTGCACAGTGTACTTGGTCCTTCATATAACCCCACAGGAAGGGGTAATGTCTGGTGAACTTGGAGGCCATGGACAAACTCCAGTGTCGCAACACTGGAGTTTGGCAGTGCATGAATGTCTCAACAGAAATTTCCTGTAGAGGTGGATCGGACGAGGTGGTCCAGTTCCATGGCCTCCACATTCACCAGACATTTTCCCATTGGATTTCTTCCTGAGGGGTTATGTGAAAGATCAATACCGCACAAATGTGAGCAACATTGAGGAGTTGTACAGAATTCACAATGCCATAAGGGATGTTGATATGGACATGTTACAGCAAACATGGCAAGAAATTGATTATCGCCTTGATGTTCTCCATGCAACACATGCAGAGCACATTTCTGTATTCTAATATTGTAAGAAAAAAACTTTTTTAGATGCATTTTATGATGCAATAAACAGATTAGTTCTAACTCTTACTGTTAATTTTAAATTTAATTTCAAAGTTGTACAGGGACTTTTGGGACACCCTGTACATTGTATCTCCAGAGTTTGTGAGTACCTGGTGTCACTTTTCCATTAATTTTACTCATGAATACATCTTTGTTCTCTCATGAAAATGAATATTTTATAGTCCACTGACCTTTCTTGGTCAGTGTTCCTGTGAGGATGGCCAGCAGGCTGCTAGTAGGTTAGTATTGATGATTGTGCCACTTTAATGTGTTGATAGTCTTACCACACAGGTCTTGGTATTCTAATCCACCAGCATACAAGGAATACAACTATATTTAACACTAACGTGTAGCACCATCATTATCAAACTTTATGGTGCTTGGGATCTGTTGGACCTCACATTAGTGTTTTAGGGTTAAATGATGGTTTTTTGAAATAAGGAAGGGTTTTATAAAATGCAAATATGTTGCTTTTTTTTTAGAAAACTCACCTTTCTCCCTGAACAATATAGAAATTATGAAATTGAGATAAAATCCCCTGTGGATGATGTGGACTATGGATAAAAACTCATGGTTGACATTCTTTTCCATAACAATGCTGGATTGATGATCATTATGATCAGTCTGGAATGGTTATGCTCTTTCTCTTCTGAATTAAGTCTATAAATTCAAAAATTGTTGAGTTATGGGTATTATATTTTTTATCTCATCCTGATATTATCTATTCCTTGACTGAGTAATTTAGTCACTTCCAACCAATACAAGATTATGATGCAGATTTCTACAGTCAATTTCACATAGTTGTGTGTGGACTGGACTCGATAGTAGCCCGAAGATGGATAAACGGCATGCTTGTTTCACTCCTTCGCTATGAAGATGGGACACTTGATCAGAGTACTGTCATTCCCATGATTGATGGAGGTACTGAAGCTTTCAAAGGTCATGTTCGTATCATTATCCCTGGCCTCACGGCTTGCATCGAGTGCACGCTTGATCTCTTTCCTCCACAGGCAAGTTCTTCTTATCTTGACTATATTGTCAGTATTGGTAGTGACAGTATTGGGAGCATGGACCTTAACCTAGTTATTAATGCTAAAACAGACACACCTCCTAGTTATGCTTTTGTAATGAAGTACTTTTAATAAACCTGATGATTAGCCAGTTCAATCAGCTCCTTTGGCTAAAAGTACATTGCCATTGATGAGCATTCAATAAATACATATTTATAGTAAATAGATTTCAGAGCATACTGTATGGTAGCCTTAAAATCTGTGCTTATGGTAACAGATTATGCAAAATGGTTTGATTTAAAATATTAAATGACCAATTTCTGTTATTGTTTTGCAGGTGAACTACCCATTATGCACGATAGCACACACTCCAAGACTACCGGAGCATTGTATTGAATATGTGAGGATCCTTTTGTGGAAAAAAGAGAATCCATGGGGAGAAGAAACACTTATTGATGGGGATGACCCTCAACATTTAGCTTGGATCTTTGAAAAGGCTCAAGAAAGAGCATCTCAGTATGGTAAGAGCTGATTAAAATATGCTATGTTGTCTCACATGAAAAATGACCTATTTTTGTATGATACGAGGACATGGTTGGTGGGCTTTCTGGTATTGATAATCATGATCTAATATTATATTATGTAACAGAAATCAGGAATTATAGAATTATAATGTAGAACTATGAGTCCCGATCCAGCTAATTTATTATCTAGTAATCAATTGAAACTTCTCTGTTAAGCAAATGTTAACATGCTGGAAAATTCCTAATGCGATGGAAAATTCTTGTCTGGAGGAGAGGAGACTTCTGGAAAAGGATTGAAGTTGTCCTATCCTCATGCCTCAGTCATGCATTTCCCATGACAAATGACTGGCATTAAATTTTAATGGAAGGATCTCCTTCCAGATGTGTCATTGGGAGTCCAGATGAGACCTTGAGAGAGAGACAGGATATATACCCAGCTAGTTTTAATCATCTGTATCATTCCTGCTAAATGTGGACATGAGGATGAAAAAAAATTATTTTTCATTTGATTTTGACAAATGTGATATTTATGTCTATGTCACTATATTTCCTGCTATGAAGTGACATACAGTATTTGACGTGTCAAATGTCATTTCATAAGAGGGATATCTTAGCTTTCCCATGAGAGCTAAGATTTTCCTCTTACTGGAGTAAAATAAGTGGAATGAAAGCATTTTATGCACGCCTTTCTTAGCTCTCGTCATCGATTTCATTGGCCCGTGAAGCAGGATTTCGTGCCCGTTGTTCTGCTCTTTCATCTGCTTACTCCACAGAGGATCACGCCTCGGAATGGCTGAAACTTCCCCACCTTTTCGTGGCATTTTGGGAGCCACACCTTCATTCAAAATAGAAATATAGAGCGCTAACTGATTGCGGCAGACTTACGTGAAAAGCACTGTGGTAAACCGGCGACAAGACTGGTGACACGACAAAACTCAAAAGGTCATTGCCAGCAGTTGCCATAGCAACAATGACCTTAGCCAACAATGCCTCGTACCTTCAGTGTTGGTTGTGAGCATTTCTCCCGGGAAGGTATTCAGTTTAATGTATATAATTAATAATTATGCAATGCTATTCTTATCGCTGAAATTCGACCCAATTACGTCAAAATTGTAAGACTTTTTGGACTTTTGACTCAGAGGGTATCGCCTCCAGGTTAAAAGCTTTCGATCGACACCCATTGTGTTGAAACGGGACACACGGAACGTTTGGAACTGCCTGGAATCGAGTGGAGAAGGAGGGGTGGCTCCGGTTAGCGGAGACTCCCAATTTTCCTCAAAAGACTTGAGTAAAAATTTCCTGAGTTCCGTATCATAGCATACAAAAGAGACGCAACTTCGAATTTCAAGCGGAGACGCTTTTGATAAATAGTAGTGGATGCGTTCTGTCATCAGGGAAGCCCCGATCACCTGTATGCAAATTTTCAACGAGTTCAGCTCTGTAGCCTTCGAGTGAGACTCGTCCTAATTTGGAACGCCTAGGTATTGGATGAAGATTAGGGGATTATTTTTAGCTTTGCCGGGATGCGGATAGACTCGTTAGGCCGATATGAGCCACGCATCGGGCGTGTCGGGCGGTTGGCTATCAAGTTTCCGGTCGGATGTGAAAGAATACTTCGAGGCCTCGAGTTCTGAAGCTTAGAGATCTAAGCGGGTTGCGGACCGACCCGACACGTTCCGTGGGTCGGGCCCGCAAAACTCGGTCGGCAATCGAGTTTCGTGGCGAGTGCGGGACGTCAAAATGGTATGACTTTATGGACTTTCGACCTAATAAGTATTGCCTTCAGGTCATCAGCTTTCGATTGACACCTCAAATCATGAAAATCCGACCATCCGTCTAGGAGGAGTTACCCGGAATGATGGGCAGATGATCCTTTATGTGTATTATTATTATTTATTATTATTATTATTAGCATTCTACTTGAAAAAGCATGTTAAGTTTCATATTTTTATTTCTTTTGCTTTGCAAAGAATCAATGCCACATTTCTAGACAAGCAACTTGGCCTGTGTTGCCATGTGCATATATGTGAAGCAATGCAGAAATATGTATATGTTCTTTACTTGGGAAGGATTCCTTGCATTTTATTAAGCATTAATAACATAATTAGCATAAGCATTGTAACAACCCTTAAAAATCTTTCCTGGCTTACACCAGGTAGGCAGCATTTTTATTTATTTAGAAAGGATGCCAAGTACGGTATTCGCAAGTCTCAAGGAGGAATGAACTGTTAAAGAATAGAACAAGCCAAAAAATGCGTTCAGTTACTTGTGGGGAAATGTGCTTGATGAAAAGCGGCACAAGATGGTAACTGACATCTCCTTGTAGAATCTGAATAGCTCCTGCTCGTGGGTGTCTCTTGAGCCTCCTTCGTTCCTACCTTTCCTATCTGGGGGGACTCCTATTTTTGCAATAAGTGAAAGGGATCGATTGTAGGACAACATGAGCGCATAAAAAGAGGGATGATCGGGTTGGATATTATATGTAAAGGTATATGTAATATGGAAAACGTTAAGGAGGTTGTTGCTCGAAATCTGCCCTGGGAATTCTCGGGAGCGCAGTATGTGATGTCGATGGGTTCTCGTTTAGGAATCCAGGGAGTGACGTATCGTCTGACACAGGGTGTGGTGAAACACATCATTCCAGCTGTTGCATCCACGAATGCTGTCATTGCTGCCGCCATGGCAACGGAAGTCTTCAAAGTCGCCACATCCTGCTGCTCAACTCTCAATAACTACATGGTATTTAACGACTCGGAAGGCATCTACACGTATACGTTTGAAGCCGAAAAAAAGGTCAGTTTGTGTATTGCACATTCCCGTCGAGTATAAGGATCTCCTCGTCTTCGGTCGTCGAGCATCCCGCTTTATCGTTTTTGTTCTCCATATCAGGATGATTGTGTGGTATGCAGTCAAGGAGGGAAGGAATTGAAGACTAAACCCGACGAGACCCTGATGGGATTGCTTGAACTTTTTAAAAGTGCTTCGTACCAGATGCAGAATCCCGGTGTTCTTCTGAACCTTCCCGATGGGAAAACGCGAACTCTTTACATGTCTAGCATCGCTTCCATGGAGGAGAAGACGAGGCCTAATCTGAAGAAGACCCTCAGTGGTGAGTTCCTCTCCCTCTACCGATCGTTCTGGGCTCACTCTTTTCTCTCATATTTTTCTTATCTAGAGTTGGGTGTGAAGCACGGGAGTGAACTCATCATCACAGATGTCACGAGTCCCACATCCATTGTCTTCAAGACCATTTTTAGCTCCTCTTGATTTTTTTTTCAATCTGTCTTGTGTATCTCTCGGTCCCATCCACTCGATAACTTATTGTCTAGTGTCTTGAGATAGACTTATGATCGCTGAAATGTGTGATATTTTCTCGTACGTGCATGGAAGCCATGACGGACCGGTACGAGTACCTGTACCTGTACCGGTGTGAAAAACTTGTATGATGTACCTTTTATTTCAAGTGCAGCTGTCCGTGTCATCTGCCAGATGTTGGATGTGCTCCATCGTAAAGAACAACTTCGTCCTCGTGCATCAGCATTCTACATGTCGTTCTCAAATGCTTGTAGTGCCATGTCTGATTGCATCTTGAAAATTTTATCTCCAGCCCTGATGGAGAAATAAGTGAAATCGTCTCGGCCAGCATTGCGATGTGAAAGCCCATTCTCGAGTTATTCAGTTATTCTTTCCCCAAAAAAGAGGCTCCTTTCCTGGTCCTTTGCTTTCCTCCTTTCCTTTCCTTTCGTGGTCTGAAACAGTATCAAATATCCTGAATAGACAATTCTTCTGGCACGAACAAAGAGATATGCAGCAAACTTTCGAGATTATCTCCTGAAAGCAACCAAGAATTTGTGAAATGCTACGAATTCCCAGGAGGACCTTCTGGCCTTCCTGCCTTGTTGGGCTCGAGGGAAAACTCATCTGTGCCTTACTGATCCGATCTTGCACGAAAATTTTCAAGTGTAACAGTCCGTTGTACGGTAGGACCCGAAGAAGGGCTCATACGGCTTTGTATTTCCGGTTTCCTATAAGTGGTTGTGTGATGTTGTGATGAATGAGAGGGGGGGTCGGACATGGAGGATGCAGTTGTTTCCTTGCTGATGGTCGCTTTCGCGATGGGGCTCCAGTGTTGCCTGGGACACCTTGATGACCCCGATTCTTGCTCCCCTTCTCAGTCACTGCCCAGTCCTGCGCACAAGTACAAAAAAGGTACCCCCCTCCCTCCGTCTCTTTCCGTCTTCTCGTCTCGAGTTTCTCGTGCCACCTTTGTCGTATCTGTAGCCCCCAATACGCTGTGGCAGCGCTACCTAAACAACATAGAAGAAGGCCTGAAGGAGTATTTGCCCTGCCCAAAAGACGACTTCACGTCTTGCTACAAGGAACTCATCGATGCCGATCTCTCCATCTTCCAAGAAGGAATCACTCGGGACATGTTGAATTCGGCCAAAGTCCTGTGAGACGAAACCTTTCACCTGTTCTTGTCGTACGGCGATGGCACGTGACGTTTGAATGCATTTTCTACGATATGTTTAATGTTTATTCAGAGGCACACGTTATCAGATCGTCGGCGGGAAGTTATACCGACAAGGACGATGCGTGTTCCCAGCGAGATGCCAGGGGATCGAGCATTTCATCCTCCAAGTCGTGGATAGATTACCCGACTCGGAATTCGTCGTCAACGACTACGACTGGCCGAAAGTCCCATTACATCACACCCCCGTTCCGGTGTTTTCCTTCAGCAAGGTGATCTCTGATCTCTCGATCCTCGACCGGACGGCAAGAAACCATTTTTTTTTTTACGACCGACCCTCTTTCGATTTCTAGACGGGGGAATACTTGGACATCCTATATCCGGCGTGGTCGTTCTGGGCAGGAGGCCCGGCCATTTCCCTCTACCCGACGGGACTCGGAAGGCCAGTCGATGCGTCCATTCGCGCTTCCTCGTTCGGGACTTCAGTGTTAACTTTAGGCGGTCATCGTCGATAGGTGGGACGAGCATCGGGCATCCTTGTCGGCAGCGGCGGAGAAATGGCCTTGGAGGAAGAAGAAGTCGCAGGGTTTTTTTCGCGGCTCACGGACGAGTTCGGAGCGGGACCCGCTCGTCCTCTTGTCGAGGACCGAGCCCGAACTGGTAGCCGCTGCTTATACCAAGAATCAGGCGTGGAAATCCGAAGCCGTGAGTCGTCTTCCTTTCTGCCACCGAATTCACTTCCAGAATCACTGCCACCAGGCCCTGTGGCATAGCGAGGCTCGGTTCTCGCTCCTTCGACTTCCGTCTAAGTGCCTCGAGAAGATTTTCTAGCCCTCATACCCCTTTGAAGATTAATCTTCGCTACGCTATTGTCTCAGCCACGTCCCTCTCGCATGATTCCCATTTATCGACAGTGTATCCTGTATATATATAATCCACCCACCTAGGCTATTTGTACAGGGATCTCGCCGTTTCTCCCTTCCTTACCTCGTCCTTTCCAGTGAGGTCTTTTCAGAGGTATTTACAATCTCGAGAACTCAACCACTCTTTTTTTTTGAGGATGGATTTCGTTTCTAAATTATTTACGACAAAAACTGAAAACTGCTAAAAAAGATGACTTCCCTTTAAAGGTGAGCTTGCTTTTCCTATTGCAGTTCCGTTCCGTGTGTTGAAGTGGCGTTCTTTCAACTGCTTTTCTCTTTCGAGTGTGTCATGGTCGGAGTCTCAGATGTAAATGCTGCCTGTTTGTAACCTTGTAATTTGGCATGAAGCAAGTGAGAGATGATGCGAGCGAGGAATTGTATTCAGTTGTGTGGCTTGTGAATGATGTAATTTGGAATGAAAGCGATCGGACGACGCGGCTTTATGAACTCTACTTTAGATGAGAGTGACTCGCATTTTATTCTCCCGTCTTCTGCCTGTCATCCCGGATGGAAAGTGATCTATGGAGGTGTCTATCGCTAGTTAGATGCGGGAATAGATTCCTGTCTTGGCACTGTCTGTTTCATTGTCCCTCTCGCACGTGAGTTGGATGCATGGTCCTCCGGCCGGTCCGGAAGTCACAGAAATGACGGCAGCCGGCATCTTTCATCCCGGCTGTAATCAGCGAAGACCGTGATCCGGCCCGTCGTGGATCCCCGACGTCCGCGCCGCACGAGAACACGAAAGATCAAGCGAGATCTTCCCGCTCTCCGTCTTCCAGGAGGAGGACTTCAATCCCGTTGGAGACGAAAGGAGGCAGGGAGCCACTCGCGAAGCAGGCGAGCATCATCCAGACGCTCGAGGATCTTAATATTTTCTGTCGCTTTACCACCGAATACGTTTCGAAGAAAAGTCTTACTTGCTCGTATTCTGTTCTACGGAATACCTAACTACCATCGAAACCCTACTGAGAAACNGGGGGGGGGGGGGGGGGGGGGGGGGGGGGGGGGGAGAGAAGGGAATGAGCGACCTTGTCTGGCGAGGAAAATAAACATTAAGAGCTGGAAAGGGAGAAGTCGCCTACGCCTAGAATCCTTCATGAGGATTTTGTTGACCTTGTTGAATTGGCCTTTGAAAGGATTCTAATGCATGGAGTTAATATATAACTCCATTAAATGGAGTTATATATATATATATATATATATATATATACGGTTGTTGATGTGGTGTGATCGTGCAGGACACACTGGGCGCAGACCCAGCCCCAGAGATCTCGCTAGAGGATCACTGTGAGTACAAGTACCTGTTCAACTTTCGCGGAGTGGCGGCGAGCTTTCGTTTCCGTCATCTCTTCCTCTGCAAGAGTCTCGTGATCCACGTGGGCAACGAATGGACTGAATTCTTCTACCCTCTTCTCAGGCCGTGGGTCCATTATCTTCCTCTCCCATCTTATCCGACCCAGGAACAGATCATGTATGTATTTTTTCTTCTTCTCTCTTTCTCCCTGTTGTGTCAACTTTTCATTGTTTAATGTTTTTTTTTTTTAGAGACATCTTGGAGTTTGCGAAAGAATTCGACAAGGAAGTAGAAGAGATCGCAAATCGGGGACGTGAGGTGATCTGGGAGCATTTGCGGCCGAAGGACATCACAACTTATTGGGAGGAGCTCCTTCGGTCATATTCCAAGCTTTTGAATTTCAAACCAAGTCTTCTTCCCAACATGACTCGCATTTCTTGAATTTTCACGAGCGTTTTATTCGTGGGGAATCCTATTCCATTGTCTTCTAGAGTCACAACTCGATCAGTCCTTGCAAAAAGAACTGGAACTATAACAATGGTTTCTATGTAAGTAACTGCTCTTTCCAACATCCCAAAGAAAGCCACATGTGGATAAACCAATTGGAATGAGAGAATTATGGCTCAGGCGACCTGAGGTAGGGACAAAATCTCTTGCAGGTCTTCTATGATGTCTTCCATTCTCCTGAGGATACCTGCAGGCCAGACAGAGAAGTAGACCATCTCATCGTTTAGGACTCTGAAGTAGGAGTATTCTTTCTCACCTCTGAGTGTTGTTTCTGTGAGGTTCTGCTCCTGGAGTTTGAGGACCTCCTGGTCTTTAACGAGGGCTCCTGCTTCCAACTCACCTGTACCTGATGCAACGTCACATTTTATGCAGAAACGAAGCTATGGATGAACCTGTGTCGTGTGCACGACTCACTGGATGCAGAGGTCGTGAAATTGTAGAGTCGAGAGGAGACGTGGGTGGATTCCGGTCTCAGGGCATCGATGAGCACTTGATAAGTCGTCCCCGGCGACAGATCCGTTAGGGTGACGTTGGACTCCTTGATCCCCGGACGCAGCCCCGGCCCCGGGTACCACTCTTCTTCCTTCTCCTCCTTGTACCTGATCCTCACGCGAGTCAGCATCGGGTGATACGATGGAGCGGGGCAGGACTCGGCCCGTCCGACTCACCACGTGATGTATTGGTGGTCCTCTCGCAAAGTAGAACAGAAGACGAGGATGGCGTGGTGAGAAAAGGTATGGATGTGCGAGAGTGTGAGGAAGGGGGAGGCGTCGGAGGACGAGACGACCAGGACCAGCGTCCGGGCCACCTTGGGTTGGAAATGGCTCAGCAGGATGCATTCGTATTCCCCCGCATCGCTACTCCGGACGTCTTCGAATCGAAGACCCAAGTCGGTGACTCGGTCCTTCAGCTCCACGTCCCCCGCTCCTCGACCCACCTTGTTCCACTGCACCGACGTCCCCGACCCCCGCGGTGGGGAGCAGGGGACGAGGAAAGAATCTCCTTCCATCACCCGATACACCTTACTGGGGGAAGTGAGGAAGTCCTGGGTCTCTTCCACCTCGACCTCGATGAGCCTGGACACCCCGGCGGACCCCAAGGCGTTCTCTCCCTCGCACGTGTAGAATCCTGCGTCTTCCTCCGATACCTGTTCGCACGATCCATCGTAGAGCCTAGAAATGCTCGACGGAAAGAGATCGAGAGGCGAACCAGGACCTGAAGGATGAGGAGGGAGCCGTTTTGGAGTTGCGAGTATTTGGAGTGGAAGAGATTGGGGTCGAAGCGATGTCCGTTTTTCGTCCACCTGATCCGATGAGGAGGAGGATTCCCTTCGACGGGGCATTCCAGGATTCCGCGCATCTCTCGACCGAGATACTGCCGAGTCGGCATCTCCTTCACCCTGGCCGGGACTGCAACGCGGGGGTTCGATCACGGGTGTGACGTCGTCGTCGGCACGCATCGGAGGGGCAGAAGCCTTACATTCTACGGTGAGAGTGGCGGAAGCCTGGTGCGGAGCTCCGATCCCGTTGAAGACTCGGCAGGTGTAGTTGCCGGAGTCCTTGGCGTAGACGGGATCCACGAGGAGACTCCCTTGGGGATCCACGCGGAACCTTCCCCCGATCATCCCCTCCAGGGTTCGAAGGTTCGCTCCGTCCTTGTACCAGGTCCAAGTGATGTTTCGGGGCCTCCCTACCGCCCCGCACCCCCATCTCAGGGACTCCAATTCCGAAACGACCGCGTTCCTTGGCGGATCCTCGATCTCCGCCGCCACTGGTAAATCGTACAGTTCCCGCAATCATCGGTTTACCCTTCGGTAATGGAAACGAGGAAACCCAGTACCTACATAAAATGTCGACCGATTCGATTACCGTCTGTCGTCTGTCGCCTAATTTATAGGAAAATGAAGCACCGGAACTCACTGCGTATCGCACGTCGATCGGGAAGCGAGGAATAAGCCCCTTGGAATCATTTTTCAGCGCAAAATTTGACTACGACTTCGATTTTTGGGGCATCGTAACCACCACCTGTTGCTTGTCAAATATTTCGAAACCACAAAATACGAAATGACAACATGCAAAACCTTACCCGCACCACCTGCTGAAATTAATCTGTGAGACGTGATTTGATCCAGCTTTGCAAGGAAGAATGCTTCCCAGTTTTCTCCCAAGCAGCAGTCGGCTAAAGTGCCAGTCCATGGTAATAAAGGCCCACGCAACACGTATCTTTGGGCTTTCCTTTACCGTTCCACATTCGTTCGACGAAAAACCAAAATAATATCGACTTGTTAGATTTTTCAATTAGCATGCAGACAGATAGGGGGGAAGATATAAGCCGACTTTGTGGCAAGATGATCTTTACTTTTTGACTAATTTTGACTCGATTGGAATCTGACAGATGGAAAGGCAACTCTACCCGTCGCTGAAGGAAGTCCTACAATTAGACTGGGCATGCTCAGCTCGTACTGCGAAGAATGAAGTAAATGCAGGACGAGATTTCGAGCGATAGTAAAAAAAAAGGAAAAAAGGGCAAGGCCTGGGGATGTTAGGGAATGCACTTGAGAGTACAACGAGGGTTCCAGGAAAGCCAAGAGCGTGCGAGAATCTTGTAAGTGGCTTTCAAATCGTCCAGTTCGAGATCGTATCGTTCTTTCCAGCGATTCGGCCGAGTGCCATTTTATGAAAAATTTCCCGGTGATGCGGCAGAAGATAGACGTCGACGCTAAACGCATCGACACCACGTCGACCGATCGCCGAGACGGTGCTAACGATTCGAATGGAAAAAAATTCCCAACGATCGCTAAGTGCACCGAGTTCCTCGGACCGACTACGCAGGACCGGACGAACGGAAGAGGAACCGACCGACGGCAGCTCGTATGGATTTCTCGAAAATTGAAGTCCCGAAGCGGATCTGCTCCGAGGCTAAGCCGATCGTTAACGGCTTTTCTCCGAGCGAATTGCGTTTCCAACTTTTCGCGACGCGGATGAGCATTTCGGCGTTCGGTATCGTAGTTTCGGCATCGGCTTCGAAAGACGCGACGACGAACGAACGAGTGGAATCGATCTGCACGGATGCGAACACGCTCGGCGAGCGAACGTTCCACGACGAGTGGATCCGTGATCGAAGGAAGCCCTACGAGGCAGACGGCTTTCGAAGCTCGAAAGACGAAAAAAGAATAAACCGATAAACAAATAAGAATAAAGAATAACGAATATCGCGCGGTCTCCGCGAATCGCGAAACTCGCGACGAGACGTCGGAACGTCCGTTCGAAATTCCCGACGCTCGACGGTCGCGGAGGAGATCCCGGCCGAGATTTGCACCGGATGTTTATCGAAATGCGACCGCGAACGGACTCGATGACGCAGGGGACGGGTGGCCGGGTGGCCGGGTGGCTCGTCCCGACTGTCGTTCCCATGTGGATCCGTGGATGCAGAGGGAAAGAGAGAGGCATCTGGCGTCACGTCTCCGACTCTCGACGCTCGTCCTTCCTCTCCCTTCCTCTCCCTTCCTCTCATCTTCCCCCGACGGATCCTCGATGCGCATTCGGCAACGTTTCGTTCGAGCGGGCCGACTTTCTTTTCCGCTCTCCCGAGGAGAAATCCTCGGGGAGCAGGCCGAATGCCGCTCGGCGATACCGACGAGATCGCAGAGCAGGATCTTGTGACTTTCCGAAAGAGTCGCAAACTCTCGCACGGAGAGTAATCTCACGCGAGTCACGAGCGAAAACGACCCGGCCGATTCCTACCCGTTCGACGGAATCGTCTGCACCGGACGGTTCCGTCACGTTCCGAGGATCCGTCGGGCTCGGAGCGGCGATTCTCGACTTCTCCGGTTTACGGGTGCCAGAAGAATCTTCACCGCGTTCCGTGGGCTCGGCCGTCGCTCGAGCCGACGAGTGCGAACCACCGAGATCTCGGACGACCGCTCCCATCCGCGACCGAGTTCGGCGACGACGTCGTCGATGCCGATCTTCGCGAGACGCGAACGAGACTAAAACTCGACGCACCGATCTCTCTCGCCTCGACGAGGCGTATCCGAGGGGTTCCGAGCACTCTCCCGGGAGAAGTCGGTGCTGCGACTTGCAGCAGCGATGAGATCTGAAGAAAGCACTCACGCGTGGACTCGTCTCCGCTCGTAGGTGCATGCTTCGAGGGTGTATAGGGATGACGGCAAAAAATAACGACTCGGACGGGTAGATGCTCACTTTGGAGACAAATTCATCGGCCGTCGACTTCTCTCGCTTTGGGGTGGTTCTTTCGGTGGTCTCCGACACGTTATTACTTCCTCGGTATCGAGAACATCGAGTACTTTCGTGGAAATACGACACCCGTGCGGAAAATGGCACGTCTTACCCCTCTCATCGCAAAGGTGTGCTCTTCGACGGTGACACTAAAAGCACCTTCGACGAAAAGTCGTACGGGAAAACTAAGGGACGATCGTCCCGGTCCCGAGCGACCGTTTCGCGTGGAAACCACCGCAGACGGATTCCTCCCGTTTTCGTCGTGTTTCCGTGACGGGTCGCACGGAGCGAGTCCGTGCGAAGAGTGCTTTTCTCGACTGGGGGTCGCGAGAGCCGAATCGAAAGAGATCGAGCCGAGGGAGTCACGCGTCATCGATACGGCTCGCGGATGTACCCGCGGATGGCACCCGCGACCGAAGGAGTTCCGAGTTTCCGGTTCCACGGAGGAGCGGATCTCGACGAAGGACCTGCGCCGACTTCGTCGCACGCGACGCGAACCGCAGAACCGATCCGGGCGAGAGGCCGACGGATCGACTCCGTTCGCTCGGCTTTTCGGCTTTTCGGTCGGAAGCGCGGCGACGGTCGGGGGCCGAGGGGTCGGGGGGTCCCCGATTCGCGATCCTCTTGCCAAAATCTGCATCGTCGATGGGCTCGTTCGAGCCCGAGCATTCGTTTTCGAATCTCGAAAAAAAAAAGCCTTCGCGTGATCCATTTCGGTCGGGGCGAATCAGACCGACCGACGTTCCGTTCTCGTTCGCTTTTCGTGGATGCGAATGGAACCTCCGCCCTCGAAAAGACCTCAAACGAGTGTGTCGTCTCCTCGGCTCGGTGCTCCTCGTCGGTGTCGACTCGGGATCCAGGCCCGAAAACGAATCCTCTCGGACCGTCGAAATCCGATATCCGATGGTCCTTCGCCGTTTCTCGACCGTCCACCCGTTTCGCCTCGAACTCGAACGTCGAGCGCCGGATCGTCGTCGATCGGCTTCGACCGGATCTCGCGCGGCGAGTCCGGTCGGCGCTTCGACGTGCACGAGAAGAGGATCACGGATGCGATCCCGGATGCCGATCCGGGATCCTCCGGGTCCGTTTCCTCGCCCTCGGCGTTCGAATACGAAGGTTTGGAAGCGACGATCGCACGCGTGGTCTTTGCGATTCCTCCGGGGCATCGAAGAACGAGAAGAAACCACCTCGACGAGACGATGCCGATCGAGTAGCGGAGTGCGGTTCGCGATTCTTTTTTTTTTTTTGCCCTTCGATGACGTTCGCTGCATTTCGAGGAGTGAGTGTCTCGTAAGGACGCGACGAGGCACGGAATCCACACGTCCTTGCGAGACGAGTTTGCCTCGCAACGTTCCAGCGAATGGAATCGTACGAATCGTACGCAGGGAGGGGGGGGGGGGAAAGAGGTGATTCCGTCAGATCATACTGAGAGGCCTAGTGAATTTCTCGATGCACAGTGGGACGATAGCCGCACTCTCTTCACCAAAATGGAACATTTTGAATGGCGTGGGAACTCCAGCTCGATCGCTCCGAAGCTCCATCGATGTCTTACACTCGGTCAGAGTGAAGGTTCTTCGTCCCAAACGGGGTGATTCCACGACGTACGATCGGTTTCCGAAGGAACATTCGGACTCTCGGCTCACCCGTTTCGACCTCGAGACGGTGACACCCGCCGAAGCACCGATTCTGGACCGTGCGTGCAAGATCGAAAAGCCAGAATGCAGAGCGGATTTCTGCACGGTCCCTTTCGTCGATTCGTCTTTCCAAATATATATATTTTTTAGATTTTTGCCTCCAGAAAATATTCGCACTCGGGCCGATCTCCTCCATGTCGATGCCGATCGTCGATCACGGGGAGAAACGCACGATCTTTCTCGTCGATCGCGACGGGATCTCTCGGAACGTTCTCGGCTTCCTCTTCGTTCGGTCCTCGCATCACGGATTCGACGAGGGAAGTGCGATCGGGAGCGATGCAGGCTCCTTTCGAGAGGATTTCTTTGCACGCGTGGATCCGAGAGACGATTCGTGCGAGCGACGAACGATATCGAGGGAAGTGCGTTCCCGTGCTCCACGTTTGTCGGCGAGAAACCGGTGCTCCGGTGAAACCGGTGTGGACGAACGGTTCGTCCACGCGAGTTCGACGTTCGGACGTGCATTCGTGCGTCCCGACGATGCGACGGTCGAACTCGAGCGACTCGCCGCGACGTCTCGCTCCCATCGTCGGAGTGGCAGCCGGTTTTCGTGCGGCCGACGAGATGCAAACGTTCGATTCCGGAAATGCCCATACCGACGTCGCACTCCATCTTTTTTTTGTCGCACGCAGAGAATACGGCATACCGGTAATCGAAGAATGGAGCTTAAAATATACAGTTACCGAGCCGATATTAATTTAAATCATAATAAGATGCCATCCGACGCGAAAGTAATCACTCGTAGGAGGCTCCATCGAGTTCGTATCGATGTGACACGGGTGGTTTCATTTTAACCTAAACGAACCGAGGCATGAAAATTCAGCGTTTCCTCCCGTTCACGGCTCCATTCCAAAAATGGCGCTATTTAAATAATAAAAAAGTAATGGCAGTTTTCCTAAGCCTAATTATCAGGTGACCAGTGGGTCGCGTATGCGATTCGCGAAAGATTTCGCAATTTTTAACGTTTTCGCCGGTAAAATGCGACTTCGTCCCACCGTGCGACGGGGAGGAGGGAGAGAATACGGGATTTTTCCGGGAATCCGCCGGTTTGGTTTGGTCTCGACTCGACCGATCGCGGTCCCTGCGCGACGTCGAAGAAGAGAGAAGACGGACGCACGGAAGGTCGAGACGGTGACGCGAGTCTGGATGGTGGCTCTGGAATTCTCGGCCCGGCACACGAACTCGCCCAGATCTCCTTCCTCCACGCCGGTGACGACCAACTCCTTTCCGTCCCGGCCCAGCGCGTACCTCCCCTCGACCCTGTCGAGGGCACGACGGATTCCGTGAATCGCTTGTCGTCGGCGACGGACGCGTCGGACGGGAGACGGACGGTCACGGACGGGACGGGTTCGGCTCCCTTCGACCAGGCGACGGAGGGTTCCGGATCCCCCACGGCCTCGCAGTTCAGGACGAGGTTCTCCCCCTCGTGGACCAGGACTTCCTCCGGAGGCCGGACGGCGAACCGCAGCGTCTCCGGCAGGGCTACACCGGACACGAAAGGAGATGGCTCTCTCGGGTCTACGTCGACCGTACGGTCGGTAGCGAGAGAGAACCGAGGAGAGAAAATCGACGGATACGGAGGACGTCGAGGTGGATCCAGCGGATGGGATGGTGTCCGTTGGGGGATCGATCGAGGAGGATCACCTGGCATCCGTACCAGCCGGCATCGGAGGGCTTCAACGAGGAGACGTTGAGATCGGCAGCCGTTTCCGTCTGGGCGAGCCCCATCCTCCCTCGGTATCCCTCGTCCACGTGCGGAGGGTACTTCTCGTAGTGGATGAAGACCGGTCGGTTCTCCCCCGACGATCCGTCCTAGATCGAACCGTTTCGGACGCGGAAACGCCTCGGGGGACCTCGGGACGGAGACGGAGGATCCACGGACCTTTTTGAGCCACTTCACGATGAACGGGACGGGTCGCTCTCGGAGGGGGAGGGCGGGGAGGGCGGGGAGGGCGAGACGACAGGGTAGGAGGACGCCGGTGCCTTCCACTCCTCTCTCGTGCCTCGCGGAATCGCAGCATCCATCCGGACCTCGGGGAAGAGAAAGAAGGAAAAGGTGCGTGAGGAAGGGGGAAGGGAGGCATCCGCACCGCGAGGGAGAACAGGTATCTCGAGGGAGAACGACACCCGACCGCTCCGAGGACTCTTTCGAGAGGCGAATCGCCGTTTCGGGGACGCGGTCTCTCCGTCGAGAGCCCGAATTCACCGGGTGCGAGAAGACGGTCGGGAATACGGGGTGTAACGAAAGTCGGAGACGATCCCGTTTCCGGTCGACGCCTACCGTTCCGCCGACGCGGCCGAGGACGGAAAGCATCATCGAGAGAAGGAAATCCAGCCGTCGAGATCTCGACGACCGATCGCCGGTGACTTCCACCGAGTTCGAACGCGCGATACGCGATCGCGGTATCCCGTGTTTCTCGATCCGCTCGGTGACGACGTGGAACGTTCGTGCAGAGTCTCCTCGAACGCGCTTCCGAGATCTCTCGCTCGTCCTCGAACGACCGCGTGGAACCGAAAATGCATTCGAGACGAACGAAGGCCGAGTTCGGCGCAATGAGTTTTTGGCCACGCGTGAGTTCCTCTGGATTCCAGTTCCGGTTTCGAATGTACTCGTCGAGAGATCCCGGTGCGTGTGATGAACGTTTCGTCTGCGTCTCTTGCCGTGTGGAAAGCCGTACGCCGACCGTAAAGTTTCACCGTCACCGATCGAATCGGCCATTTTAACCGAAACGACCGGAGAAAAATTCGCATCGCTTGCACTTCGATGCGTGACGGTTCGTATCGAGTTCCTCGAATCGGTCCGTGACGCGTGCGGCAATCGTCTGCGACATCCTACGTTTTGCTCTCACCTTTGTCGATCGAACGAACGCGTTCGTGCGTCTTCATTTTTTGCTTAAATTCGTGCAGTCCGATTTTAGATCGCGAACGAAACCGCATCGAGTTCGCCGAGCAGTTACGACGATCGCGAAGCCATCTTCTGTCCTTTTTTTCCGTAGAAACTGCACGGGGTAGAAATCGGGAATGCGGATCGGGACGACCGAACGGTTTTCTCGTTCGGAACCCGAAAACATGCCTGCACGTGCTAGCAGTCGGGATGCGACCGGTGAGGCCGAGCCCCCCCCCCCCCCCCCCCCCCCCCCCTCCCCCTTCCCCAGCCGCCCTGTTTATTGAAAAATTCAAAACCGGTCTCATCCCCTTGCTCATCCGCTTTCATTGATGCATGATGAGATCTCGTGCTTCCATTATTAATAACTCCTGTCTCATCTGTCCTCGATTCCGATGTATCGTGGATACATAAATACAGGATACAGCATGCAATCCATGTCTTTCTCCCGTCTAGTATCGATACTCGTTCGGCAAGAGGCTGCAAGATACTCATTTGGCCACGATCCAGAGGGGGGAAGGAGGGGGCAAGGGAAGGGGGGAGGTGGGGGGGGAGGAGGGGGGGAGAGGGGGCAGACAAGTCACGTCCATCGATTCTGGATTGCTTTCCATGAGGACGCATCGGGGAGGGTGGCCGTAGAAATTCTCATCGAATTACGAATTTAAAATGATGAATTGAGTCCAGATAAGATTTCCCTGGGCCGAGACGGCCATGGAATCCCAGAGATTAAGTTTTAAGTACGAACCTTTTCTCTCGAGAGAGAACGTGGGAAAATCCTTTTCCCTTCGCCGTCACCTTCCTTTTTTTTCCTTTTCTTTTTTTCATTTTTTTTCTTTCTTTTCCATCTGTCCCTCTCCTCATCCCTCCTCTGTATTTCATCGCCGATATTTTATCCATAACAAGTGAGGGGGAACCCGCTCCAGAGAGTTCATTCTCCGACACTTAGGGTTCCATGGCATTGAGACGGGATTATAAATCCGGGGATGCATGCTCCATGGCGCATGATTTCACACCCATTTTCCGTCCGATCATATCTAAGTAAGCCGCCCATTGTGCCCCGATAAGCCGAATATTGACTCGATGAAAGGGCCGCACCTCTCATAACAAGTTATGCGTAACATTTCTCAACTCCGGTTACCCCATAGCGTTGCAGATTATCCTCTCTCTTCACATGGAAGCCGAGAAGACGGCCGAAAACAGAACGACCTTTTTTTGGGTGTCCTTTCTCTCCTTTGCGGCGCGGCTGAATAACACGGCTCGTCTCGCTCATTCTAATATGCCACGTCCCTTGTTTGTCTCTCCCCCTTCTCCCGCCTTGTTACTCGCAAATAATGTCTAGAACGTTGCGACCCACTTCGCCTCGTACATGGAATTCATCACCGAAAGGAGGAGATAGGATTGTTTGCCGAGCCATCGATCGGACACGGTTATGATTTTATCACCAGCGTCCTGGAAAATCATCGGATCCCAGGGGTGATAGAGCATTTTTCCACTGCAAATATAATAAGCGGATTAGAGAAGACGATAGCATTAAATAGATCGATATCGTGGATGTGGAGGAGAGATGGATGAATGGATTCTGCCTTTTTCGTTTCTCCCCCTGCCGAGTGGGATGATGTAAGGAATGCCGGGAAGTGTAGAGTGATGTCTGGCTCTGGCACCTTTCAGGAATGTCATCGTCATTCTCAGCCCACGCAACATAGCTCCAAGTGACATTGGAAGGAAGTTCCAACCAATCGAGTGGCATGGTGATGAGGAAGATGATGAGGATGTCGGTGGTGATGATGATGAGGATGCGTCGGCGCTCGTTTTCTTCCATCGGCCTCCTGATTGGTTGCCTGGAAGGGGACCTGGCTCGTTATTTTTCTTCCTGCACCCCGTGCCCCCCCATCTAGAAATATTAATATGTCTGCCCTTCTCCGCTCCTCCGAGCGAGGGGAGAAAGAAAGGAAGGGTGGGGGGAGAGGGAGAGTAATGATCGATGCTATTGGTGGAGAAGGAGAGTGAGANCGAGACGGATCGCGCCCGTTCGAGAGGCGATCTTCCGACGCCCGCAGAGGGAGTTCGGGGACGAAGGTGCGACTCGAGGGGGTGTCGGTATCGGAGAGGAACGAGAGGAGTTTTCGTCGCGTTTCGGGGAAGAGGTTTCTTCGACGTCGCCATCGAGTCGCCAAACGATTGCGAGAACGCTTCGTCGTCGCCGACGACGGATCGCATTCGGCGTTTCGAAACGCCTCCGGTATTTAGGGGGCAATCTTTTCGAAGGAGGACGGCCGGATCCGAGGGGATCTTGCCCGATCGCGTCCCGCGACGAAACCGGTGCCGACCGATGGAGCACCTCGAACGGTGCGTAAGCGCGAACGGTCGCGCCCCGATCCGCAAGAGGGCGAAAAAAATCGGGCAACGTGCGGAGTCGTCGGCACGTCGCCGCTCCGTTTCGAACGGTCGTCGTTTTTCGAGAGACGGTCGGATGCCGCTCGCGTTCGATCGAGAGGTTCGCGAGTCGAAGAGGCCATTTTTCGTACCGCAAGTCGGTGCCGCGTTGCGATCGAGGGCGCCGACGTCCACCGCGTACCGACCCGTCGGTTCCGGTGCGTCGAGTCGGCCGTAGGATGACCCGACTCTCACGAAAAGGAGAAAAGCGAGCAACGGACCCACTTCCTCTTCTCCCTCCTTCCCACCTTCCCCTCTTCTGTCGTTCTTTCGATTCGCGTCACGCTCTACCGTCGTTTTCCGTTTCGACGCGATTTCTCGTCGCGTGCGCACCGTCCTTCGCGTCCACGTTTTCCTTTCTCTTTTCGACCGTTTACGGAGCGATGATCCTTTTCTTCCCCGAACCGATCTCTTCGATTCGTCTCTCCGGAGCCCGATCGCCCCCCGAGCTTCCTCTCCTCCTCCGGATCGACCGGTCGGGAGGAAAGAGAGAAGCTCAGAGAAGCTCGGCTCTCGCGAGGACGATCCCATCGCGACTTCCAGCGATGCGGATCCTGGTCTCGAGGTCGACCGCTTTCCTGGACCGAATTCGTCTCGATCGCCGGGTGTTCATCGTCCGACGGAGGGGGGCGAGGAGGAAATCCCCCCGGTGGGAAGCGTTCGGTCGATGGAACGCCGGTAAACGAGCAGGAAACGCAGTGTCGACTCCGAGGACCGGACGGAAGAGACTCGTGGGATTCCCTCCGATTCTCTCGGATTCCCCCCGATCCTCTCGGATTCCCCCCGATCCTCTCGGATTCCCCCCGATCCTCCCGCTCGCGTCCGAGAGACCGAGGAGTCGCGCCGTTACTTTCGGAACGGGAAGCGGCGGCGTTCGTGCACTTGCGAATCGTCCGCGATCGTAGCCTGCTCGTCGGAGGAAAGAGGCGCGCGCGAAGGAGCGATGCGCCACGTCGCTGCGGTCCCCCTCTCGGGCTCGTTCCTCGAACCGCCGTCTTCGGGGCGAGAAAGAAACGGAATTCCCGGATGCCTCCCGTCGCGAGGAACGCACGCCGACCGGGACGTTTTCGGGCACCGTCGCGAGAGCGTCGAGAACGAAGTCGCCGGAACGAGAGCGACGGCAGCAGGAGGCTTCGGAGGAGGCTCTTCCGCCCGAAGGACCCGAGTTTTTCGTCTTTCCGCCGGCGAAGGTGGGATCCGGGAGGGTCGAAAGCGGAGCACCTCGTCTCGATCTCGGATCGTGCCGCGCCGCGTTCCTCGATCTCGAGTCTCTTCCCTCGTCGCGTGAAGATCCGACTCGCCGCACGCTTAACGCATCGACCGAGATCCTCGACGGGATGGGCCGAGTCGGCAAAAATCGCTCTTCTCGTACGGTTGGGACTCCCGACCGCATCCGGTATCTCTCGTCGTTTCGGTTCGGAATGCGCCGGAGCGGTTCTGGATTTCCTCGTCGAAATCCAGATCCAGGTGGTTCCGGATCGAAGAGGGAAGAGCGAGGAAGAGGTTCTCGCCTGGTCACGGGTCCACTCGGGGTCCACCCGGGGTCCACTGCGCTAAACACGCGGATCGTCATCGCGAAAACCCGATTCGCCACACTCTTCCGCGACCGAACTCTCTCTCTCTTTCTCTCTCCTCTCTCGTGTCACGGGGAATCGATGCCACTCGACTCGCGACCGCGAGTGGATTTATCCCTCCCCATCCGTGCAAGAAAAACGTTCGTCGTTTCTCGAGACGACCCGGAAGAGATTCCTCTCTCGATCCCCGACGAGAAGTTCCGCGTCTGCACGCGTCGCGACGGAACGACTCGTCTCGGATCGACCGTCGATCCGTCCGACGGCTCGAGATCGCATCTCGAATTCGCGACGACGGACGGCGGGTCGAGTGGATCCCTTCCGAGGAGACGATCGAAGCGATTAAAACTCGAGGACCCGTGGTCGCGACGATCGTCGTCTTCCGAGTCTCGAACGTCCGTCCGTCTCCTAATTAAATCCAGAGGCGAGAGAAAGAGAGAGAGAGAGAGAGAGAGAGAGGAATACGAGGACTCGCTGAAAGCCGATCTTTCGATCCGGAATCGAGAAACGTTCGGATTTCGGGAGATCCCTCGTCCCCGTCAATTAATGCGGACGTGATTGATGAGGCCCTTTTGTTTGGGGTCGTTTTGGCACCCGAGATACGCATCGACCGATCCCGATCGCGGATAAGACGGGGGAACGGGTTTCCCTTCAATGTCACGTCGCACCCACGGACGTCTTAACGCCCGAGAGACGACCGCGTCTACGCAGTTCGTGTCGGTGTTTCCTGCTTTCTCTTCGCTCTTCGACCGGGTGAGACGCGCGACCGCGATCCTCTCGGGAGCGAAAGGGGGGAAGATCCGCGACCGTCTTTTCGTACCGATCGCGATCGCGCGGACGGACGTTCCGGGAGACCGATCGCGAATCGAGTCTCGCCGGACGGCCGTTTCGTCGCGAGGCGTCGATCGGTCGAGCCGAAACCGGGGACGGAGTCGGTCTCTCCGGTGCCCCGAGATCGCTCCCGGCCCGGAGAGAGACGAAATTCGGCATCGACGCGACGTCGGGATCGGCCGTCGGCGGACGATCGCCTCGCGAAGCCTCGTGAGAGAGATGGATCCGATGCGGACGAGAGGACGAAAGCCTGCAAATCCTTAGCAGAGGCCTCCTTCCCGGAGGCCTCCTTCCTCTCCTCTTTTCCCCGGAACGCGAGTTCGCTTTTCCCGATTCTCGTCGGATCTCCTCGCGGAGTCGACGCGCACCGTTCGCGTCCGTTCTCGGTCGCCGAGCGGAATCGGCTCTCGACGGCAAGACGTCGAGACGGGGCCGAGACGGGGCCGCGACGGGGCCGAGACCCGCGTCGCGGGTCGGTCGTCCGAAGGAGAGCGATGCCGAGCTCGAAGGTTCTCGCATCCGGCGACTTCCTCTCGGCCGACGGACGGCCGATCCCGGACGAGCGGCCTCTCGACGTCCCCACGCACCCGATCGCGGAGTCGAACCCCCTGCGAGATCCCGTCTCCGTTCGGAGAGGCATTCGAACCCTTTCGGGCCCGGCGTGACGGAAGTCTCGCGATCGTTTCGCACGTTTCGTGGGGCCACGCGGGAACGCACGACCTCGAGGCCGAGGCAGGATCGAAGAGTCCCCGTCCCGTTTTTTTCCGATTCGTACTCTCGCGGTCGGTGACGTCTCGTCGAGGACGGTCGGACGAGGAAGATCTTTTTTTACGTCGTTCGTACGTTAAAATTCGGATCCGAAAGGATGCACGGAAGACGTGCGGGAGAACGGAAGTCCGACGGAGAGGAACGAACGCCGTCGAGGCGAGGAGACGAGAGCTTCTCGGCGACGAGCGAGTTCCCGCTCGAGTCCGTCGTTCCCTCGCGGATCGGCCGCGGACGAAGGAGCTCCGCGAAACGGCGCACTCGCCCGTTCCGACGGACGGAACGGGCGCCATCCGACGGACTCGCCTCGCCCGAGGCCGAAAGGGCGATCCGAGGTGAGTCCCGCCGAGTGGACTCCCCGATCCGGGCCGAAGTCACGCAGTAGAGGCGTGCGTGTCCGTCCGTCCCCACCCCCCCCCCCCCCCCCCCCCCACCCCCC